CGGGCGTTGCCGGGGGCAGGACGGGGGTTGACGGGCGTTGCCGGGGGCAGGACGGGCGTTGCCGGGCCGGGCGGGCGTTGCCGGGGCGGCGCGGCGGGACCTGCACCAGCTGGATGAGGTATTGGCTCAGCTTGTCGTCCGTCAGCCCCTGTGCCAGGCACTTGAGGGCGAAGTCCCGCACGCGGGGGTCAGGGAAGTTGCAGTCCAGCAGCTCCATGGACAGCTCCGGCGCGATGAGGGGCCACTCCCGCAGCAGGCAGTACATCTGGGGGGCGGGAGAGACACAGGCTGGCGGGGCCGGCGGAACTCCCCGCCACTGTGCACAGAGAGCGCCAAACCGCTCCCGCCAATCCCCGGGGCTCGGATCCGGCTGGAGGGGGGGCACCGGGGGGGGTCCCAGGTACCTGAGCCACCTCGTCCCGCGAATTCCACTTGACGGACAGCAGCAGCTTGGGCAGCGTCTCTGGGATGTTGACGCAGTAATGGCTGCAACGAGAGTGGGGGGGGGGCGTCTCAGGTGTGCCCCAACCTCCTGCTCAGCCCCCCACCACATGGGGGAGAGAACCCAGGAGTCCTGGCTCCCAGCCCCCCCCTCTACCCGCCAGCCCCCACTCCCCTCCCAGAGCCGGGGAGAGAACCCAGGCGTCCGGGCTGCCTACCGGTGCCTCCAGAGGAAGTCTTTCTCCTGCTCGGTGATCTCCGACAGGGGATCTCGGTGGCAGATGCTCCGAAGCTGCTCCAGTTCGTTCTCCTGCAGGCTGCTGTCCCGGGCCAGGCGGTTGCTCTGCAGGGAAACGGGGGGGGGTCCCCCAAAACACCCAGTGTCCTCAGTCCCGTCCTGGGGCCGGGTGGGAGCCGGCGCCCCCCAGAGGGGACAGGCCCCTGCCCCATTCCCCGCCCCCCTGAGCCAGCCAGTCCCCGCCCTGGGGCTGGGTGGGAGCCGGCGCCCCCTAGAGGGGCCAGGCCCCTGCCCCCTTCCCCACCCCCCTGAGCCAGCCAGTCCCTGCCATGGGGCCGGGTGGGAGCCGGCGCCCCTTAGAGGGGACAGGC